CCGGCCCCAGCACACGAGGGAGGAGCACAGCAGCCTCCCTGCACCGCTCTGGTCCATTTTCCAACAGAAAAAGCAGAAGATGTTTGCACCGAGGGGCCCCTGGCTCCCAACTTCAGAGGATTCCCAGCTTCTTCATGGTCCGCCAGCGATCCTTGATCATCACCGAGGTGCGGTTCTGGAAGGGGTATTTCTGGCAAATGGCCTTCCATCTCCCTTCTCCAAACTTCTTCACACCCTCCTTGATCCACTCGCTCTCCTGTATCGTCCATTTCTACAAGAGAGCAGGGAGGCAGCGTGCAGTGAGCGCAGGGCGCAGCTGAACCACGCAGAGAACCGCCCTGTGACCCCTCCTAGCGCGGCGGATTCCCTTTATCATCTGTGCCATGCCAGGGAGGGAAGGCAGAGCTGTCCTGGCAGCAGCACAGCCAGCACCTGGGGATCCCTCTGCTGTCCATGTGCTCTCTTAGCTGGTACAAACCAGAGAGGTGCTGAGCCCCAGCAGGAGCCTCCCAAAGCTGGTCACGTAAGAGAGAAATTACCTTTGATGCGACAGCACGCAGCGGATACAAAGTACTCACGGCCTAGGCCCTGCCTAACAGTGCACAGGGAGGGTGTTAAAAATCACCATCTAAAAAATAATCACCATCTAAAAGAAAAAATAAATCACCATCTAAAAAGAAAAAATAAATCACCACCTAAAAGGAAAAAAATCACCACCTAAAAGGAAAAAAATCACCACCTAAAAGGAAAAAAATCACCACCTAAAAGGAAAAAAAATCACCATCTAAAAGGAAAAAAAATCACCATCAAAAAAAAAAATATATATCACCATCTAAAAAAAATAATCACCATAAAAAAATCACCATCTAAAAAAAAAAATATATATCACCATCTAAAAAAAATAATCACCATAAAAAAATCACCATCTAAAAAAAATAATCACCATAAAAAAATCACCATCTAAAAAAAACCCCACAAAAAAGTCACCATAAAAAATTCACCATAAAAAAAATCACCATTAAAAAAATCACCATCTAAAAAAATAGTGATCAAGGTCAGGTCTGCAGTTCCCCTGAATTTCTGTACTGGAGGGAGAAAGTGAAATACCGGCGGAAAGCCGTTACCGGGCCCAAGTGCTCCGTGGTGCACAGCAGCAGCAGGAGCCAGCAGCTGCCTCCCCACAGGCGAGGGGGAGAGGTCCCAGCACCAGACCTGGCGCCTCTGCCAGTGGCAGCTGCTGTACACGTGTCCCTCACCTGAACGTGTCCCTCACCTGAGTGAGACTCTGAGCGTCTCCAGCCCGCGGGGAACTCGGCACACCCGGATCTGACCCGGCGCCCGGTGTGTGGGACACGCGCAGCTTCAGCAGCCGCCCAGCTGGGCTGCTCAGGGGAGACTCCAGCCAGCTCCAGCCAGCTCTGTGACTGCAACGACCCGCACAGCCCGATCGACCCGGACACTGCACACAGCAGCCTCGGGAAGCACCAGCTCCCAGCCCGGCCTGGGGGCTTCTCGTGAAGCAGAGCAGCGGCCCGGCCGGCCGCGGTGAACCGCAGGCTGCTGAGGAAGCAGCGATCCTCACCACCCACCCCAGAGTCTGCTCTTCCCCAGGGACACGTCCTGACCTCAGACCTGACTGTGAGGGCTGAAGGGCTCCACGTTACCTGTTTCTTGGAACCGAAGATGGTCGTGTTGTGGCTGTTGGTCCCCAGTGACGCTGAAAAACAAGGCAAGAGGATCAGGTCACACTGCACCGTCACGCGGGAGGCACAGACCTCCCCTGGAGACTGCCCCGGGCTCAGCTGAGAGCGTCCTGTGACAGAGACTAAAACCAAGTCCCTCTGTCCCCCCCGTTTCTGCAGCCACAGCACACACAGTGTCTCCATTTCACGCATGTCTGTGAAAGCTTTTTTCCTGTTTTGTTTTGAACGAGCCAACGCGTCAGGAACAGGGATATCCACGCGGGATGCAGCTAGGCTGGATGTTGAGGCTGGAATTAGACATCCATTGTCCACTCCTTCTACCAGCTGAGCTGTGGATCAGCTGCAAAGGAACTGGACTGGAAAACTGACCTGGCTGCAGAGGTAAATGTGACCTTCAGTTCATCACACTGGAGTGGGAACAGGGCAAGAGCTCCATTTCCACTATTTCATAGAATGGTTTGGGTTGGGAGGGACCTTAAAGCTCATCCAGTCCCAACCCCCCTGCCAGCAGCAGGGACACCTTCCACTAGACCAGGTTGCTCAAAGCCTCATCCAACCTGGCCTTCAACACTTCCAGGGAGGAGCAGCCACAGCTTCTCTGGCCAACCTGGGACACTGGCTCACCACCCTCACACCAAACAATTTCTTCCTCACATCTCAGCTCCATCTCCCCTCTGCCAGTTTAGAGCCATCACCCCTTGTTTTGTCATTAACTGCCCTTGGCCAAAGTCCTTCCCCAGCTTTCTTGTAGCCCCTTCAGGTACTGGGAGGCCACTATAAGATCTCCCTGGAGCCTTCTCTTCTCCAGGCTGAACAGCCCCAACACTTTCAGTCTGTCCTCGTAGGAGAGGTGCTCCAGCCCTCAGATCATCAATTTTCCACCCTGTGAGCTGAGCATGATTGGCCTGCAGCTCAAACAGAAGTTTTTGGCATGCATTTCAGGTCAGACCTACAAAGAACACCTATCTCAGAGTTGGGCAGGTTCCTATTTATTTTCTTGGGCTTTTAGGATTTCTAGTTTCAAAATTCAGTCACACAGCAGACAGCAAAACATCCATGAATGAGCCCCAGAGCCAGGACTGTCATCAGTGAACACCTGCAACAGGGGCTCTGTTCTCACCTGCATCCGAGAAGAGCTCATCCTCCTCACTCCAACTGTCCTTTTCTTCCTCGCCGTAGGAGCTGTTCCACCTTCCCTGGAAGGACCTGAAAGCAGGCAAGCATTCACTGTGGCTGCTGCTCAGGGAGGATATTTTAGGGGGAGAAGGTTCAGGGTCACCTGGAGCACAGCAGCAAGCCTGTGATGAGTGCACAGTGCAGAGAAACACACCCATAAAGCGAGGTATAAACACCCCACCACTCCCCCGCTCCCCTCCAAGGGGGGATGAACCCTGGGGAGCCCCTACATGAAGGTACAACACGTGACAAACTCAAACACGCGTGCAGTGCTGTGTTTTGTGGCCAAAAACAAGCAGCTGGGCATGAAGCACACAGTTAAACACCCAGAGCAAACAGACACACACAGCTGGACTGCCCAGGCCTTGGTGTACAGCACAGACTGGCCAACAGCTCCGGGGAAAGGCCCCGATTCTCCTCAAGAAACATTTAATTCTTATTGTTTCAGCACTATCAACCGAGCTACAAAGGCCTCTCTGTGAGATCAGTGCTGTCACCTGCTTCCCAATCCTCAAGCACCAACTTGGGAGGTGAAATTGTGTTAAAAAAATCCCCCAAAAACCAAAACAGCTTCCAAAGGTTCACCCTGGGCTGCCACATCCCATGCAACTGAAGCCATTTGTGACCATGGGACAGTAACTGTTCTCTGTTCTCACGTGCAGCTCTGCTGCCAAACGCCTCTTTCCTGCACAGAAACATTCGAGAACCAGCAGAGATGTGCAGGATCAGATCTGCAGAGGTGTCACAGCAGCACTGCTGCCACCCGCCCTGACACACACGGGCTTCAGCACACGGCACCCACCCAGACAGGAAATCACTTCCCAAGTGAACTGGGAACCAACTTCACAGAATCCCAGACTGGTCTGGGTTCAGAGGGACCTTAAAGTTCCTCCAGTCCCAACCCCCCTGCCATCAGCAGGGACACCTTCCACTAGACCAGGTTGCTCAAAGCCTCATCCAACCTGGCCTTCAACACTTCCAGGGAGGAGCAGCCACAGCTTCTCTGGCCAACCTGGGACACTGTCTCACCACCCTCACACCAAAGAATTTCTTCCTCACATCTCAGCTCCATCTCCCCTCTGCCACTTTCAAGCCATCACCCCTTGTTCTCTCACTCCCTGCCCTTGTCCAGAGTCCCTCCCCAGCTTTCTTGTAGCCCCTTCAGGTACTGGGAGGTCACTAGAAGGTCTCCCCGGAGCCTTCTCTTCTCCAGGCTGAACAGCCCCAACTCTCTCAGCCTGTCCTCACAGCAGAGCTGCTCCAGCCCTCGCATCATCCTGGTGGCCTCCTCCAGTAGCTCCATGTCCTTGTGCTGTTGGTGGCCCCAGCACTGGAGGCAGCACTGCAGGTGGGGTCTCAGGAGAGCGGAGCAGAGGGGCAGAATCCCCTCCCTCCACCTGCTGCCCACGCTGCTCAGTAAAATTCCCAGCTGACTCTAGGAAGTGGACAAGATGGGGAGGTGGAAAACCCTCCTCAGTATCATCTCTGACAATCAGTTTAACCCTGAGCACAACACACCAGCAAGGTGACTGAGAGATGTCACCACCAGCTGCATCGACACCAGCTGCCCTGCAGAACATCCCTGCCTGCAGCTGCTCTCCTGC